GTTGAAAATAGTCAAGTTAGTAGTAAATAAGCTGAGGGCTGGCCTGAGAACCTATCTACCATTTATAACATTTTCTATGGGAAGCTGAGTTATGAGCAACTGAAAATAAACGAACATGAGCTGCATCCCATTTGTACATCAGAGCCAGCCTTTGGTGAGAGGAATAAATGAGATAAAATGAGAGAGCACAGTTTCACAGATTGTTTGCCTCAGAGCGCTGTTAAATGATGGAATAGATTCCTCATATTCAATGCCTACTTCTTTAACCATTGATTTGAAGTGCTTCAAAAAAAGAACCAATACATACTCAGCAGGATTGAGAGTAATTTATTGTGATTGTCTTTGTTCAGCTTTGAAAACTAAGGCATTGATATTAAGACTAAAGAGAAATTACATAGAGCTGGTGTGATTGAAAAAAGTTTGGCTCTTTCGAGTGATTTTTTTGTTTTTAATGCCAGAGAGTTAAGCTTTAAAAGCACGCTTCGTTGAATCCCATCCAAGCCTCCTAGGACAGGGCTGGGGGACCTTTTTTCTATTGAGGGCCAGTGACCCACAAAGAAAAAAACTAATCAAGGGCCATGTACAAAAAGCAACTTAATTTAGGTGCTTCCTTAGAAAACCATAAAGCATTGAATTCACCTGCTTTTTAAATTAAGAACAAGGAATTCTCAACAAGTACAACAAATAAAAAAAACCCTTCAGTTTCATATTATGCACCATTTAAGAGGTGGGGTGGGGTCAGAGAGAACTACATGGGTAGAGTGAAAAGAGAGTGGAAAGCAGACAGGAGAGTCTTGAGGGACTAGAAGCGATACATGAAGAAGAAACTATATGTCAAGAGTCATGGAAGCAGGAGATTGAATTAGGGAAATATGGGAGAGAAATGCCAGTTGTAGATCATAATCTACTATTCGCTAAGGTAGTAGACTAATGGTCAACTGCTATAACCAGCTGTTCCGCAGCTGGAATTCAGAAGCCTTTCTAGCAACAATTCTTAAGGAAGGGTCAGAATCACCTAGAGCCCTTGTTAAAAAGTACAAGTGTCCAATGCTACCCCCACAGTGGCTGTCTACCTGTCCCATCTTTATTCTGTTGTCCTCGTGTTCAGCTCTCTCAGCCTAAAGGAAAATTTGTGGCATCTTTCTTCAATGAGAAGAATATAAGATCACCGGGCTTAGAAAGGAAATCTCCAGAAAGAAAAGATTTCTCACTCAGACACAGCATTTTAGAAGCAGTCTCAAACACATAAGACAGAATGCCTTTCAAATAATATGCACGCCCTAGCTTTCAAAATAAACCATTTTGGGTGCTTAAAGTAGAAATATTCAAGTTTAAAAAAAAAAACTGAATTAGTTGCTCGAGTCTTCAAAGATTTTTTACCAGAATATGGAGCTATAATTTCATTTTCAAATGTACCCAGACTTGTCCTCCTTTTCCTCCCTGTGCTTCTCATTAGCACTAACTAGTTATGGCACTGAATCCCCAGTAGCCCAAGTATGTCTTGGGGTTTAATTCACAAGTATGTCTTGGACTACGTGTGTCACAGGGCTTTTGGCAAGAATGTCAAATTACATTTTCAAGTAATGCTTTTTAGAAATGCAGACAGGATAAGTGGTGCATTCAGGGCTATATGGCCCAAAGTGCGAACTTTGCACTGAGGGGCAGATGACTTTGCCAACAGAAACATTAGCCAAGTATCTACCCTGTTGTTGTCCTTTACATAAGGCAAGCCTTTCACCATTAGACAAAATCTTCCCGGAAAGATCTCCCTCAGATGAAAGTGCACTATTTTTTTTCTTTTTAAAATTAGATATTGCAGGCCAGGCACGGTGGCTCATTCTTGTAATCCCAGTACTTTAGGAGGCCGAGGTGGGCGGATCACCTGAGGTCAGGAGTTTGAGACCAGCCTGGCCAACATGGTGAAACCCTGTCTCTACTAAAAATACAAAAATTAGCCGGGCATGGTGGCGTGTGCCTGTAATCCCAGTTACTTGGGAGGCGGAGGCACGAGAATCCCTTGAACCCAGGAGGCGGAGGTTGCAGTGAGCTGAGATCACGACACTGTACTCCAGCCTGGGCAGTAGACTGAGATTCTGTCTCAGAAAGGAAAGAAAGAAAGAAAGAAAGAAAGAGAAAGAGAGAAAGAGAGAAAGAGAGAAAGAGAGAAAGAGAGAAAGAGAGAAAGAGAGAAAGAGAGAAAGAGAGAGAGAGAGAGAGAGAGAGAGAGAAAGAGAGAAAGAGAGAAAGAGAGAAAGAGAGAAAGAGAGAGAGAGAGAGAGAGAGAGAGAGAAAGGAAAGAAGGAAGGAAAGGGGCACCAAAACAAAGTCATGCCCCAGTGTTCCAGTATCAACAAGTCTCGATAAGGTTCTGCTTGAAGGTCACTGGTGGAGATGAGATGGGTGGAGTGCCTGGGCCACTCTGGGCCTTTAATGTGTGCCAGTGTAAGTGGTGCCATCCACTCGGACCAGGTTACTAGGAAAACTTTTATTGCTGCTACCCGTTTTTGAAGGGTATATCCTTAGTATAAATTTTCTGTGGGTGAGTTTAAGCCTGTCAACATCTAGCACCTTCTTCAACAGAGAAAATTATTATTTCCTGCTGTCTCTTGGTATTTTCTTGCTTTGAGGTGTATGTGTGTGTGCGCATGTGTTTGTGCATGTACCCATGTACATTGGGGGCAGGGAAAAAAGATGGGTACTTTTCTGTGAACTTAGAAACCTATTTTGATAGGATCCAGTAAGTGACCCTTATGTGTGAACCCTGTTGACATTAGGTGAGCATAGTTTATTTTCCAAACTCACAAGTTATTTTGCCTTAAAAATTCATCCATACCACAATGGAATCTTTGCAGGTGCTTGAAAAAACAGCCTATCCTATAATGAATTTTAGCTTATAACAATCTTTAAAAATTTTATTGAAAGTCTTTATTATGAAGTAATTCATTTGAACCATCCTCTGTGGGTTCTCATTCTGAGCAATCCAATTCATTTTCTAGAGGGGGTATGAGTGTAATATGTATTATTTAATATAGCGACAGCACTGTACTATTTGGGGGCCTTCATATTGCTTTATGTGTTAAGACTGTAATGGAGGGAACCCTTACCTCAACCCTGAAACCAGGAGACAGCTGAATCTTTCTGTGTTAATTATGTGTCCCAGTACCAAAGGCCTGCTGTGAACTTGTTAAGCCAGTGAAGAGGGAGTTTTGTTTTTGGTTGTAACAAAGGTGTTTCCATAAAACCAAGCCGTAGCAACCCCTCTTCTGTCACTAACGAGATCTAAGATATTCTGCAGTCTCACAGCTCTAAACTTGATTACACAACCTTTTTTTTTTTTTTTTTTTCTTCCTTTTTTTGACTGTTAGAATTATCTGTTGACCACGGTTTTCAGAAATGCCAAAAGAAACTTTTAGCAGTTTCTGGATGAGGAAGTTATTTGAAGATTGTTGCCCTTTCTGCCTTCCTTACATTGTCCTTTAATGCTGCATACTCCCCTTTTTTGGGGGCAGTAACATTCTCCTTACTTTTTAATTGCCAGGAAGGAAGAATGATCGGGAACATATATGATTATATAATTATTTGCATATGTGCAGTAGACAATCTAGTGTTAGTCAAATAAATTGCCAGCTCAATTTTATCTGAAATACCCTGCTACCCTAAAGCTGCTTTGATACCTCTATTAGGCGAAGCCCTATTTCCTGTAAGTACACATGGCCAAGAAACAGCAATGACCAGCTCATGGACCATTTCGTTTTCCATGATTAGTGTTGTTTGAATGATTAGCTTTTAATTCCCCATCACTTTGTTGATTGGACACACTTACCATTGACAGGTTCATATGTCTTTAATATACTCATTCCTGAGTTCCTCAGATCACCTCTCTCTTCGGACCCGTTTTGACTTACATAGAACACAGACAGCAATAGCAGAAGGAACAGTGAAAGTCAATCCTTGTAAACATGTGTACAAAATTATACCACACCAATTAATATTGGAGAGACTGAAGTGATAGTAGCTAGTGGGGTTTATTTTTGAGTGGCATTGCATCTTGTGGTCATTATGAGGGAAGAGACATTGTCTCTTCAAAGCACAATTTTTGTTCTGTGACGGAGAACAAGGGGGGAACTCTGGGGCGTATAGAAAAAAACCCTGCCTAAACCTCACCTTCAAACTGCAAGCGAAATGCAGTTGCTATAAGTGGGGAAAATACTTCGTGGGTTGGGTTGCTGTGGAGTGATGTGTCTTTGACATTTCCCTTGACTCTTGGGGCTGCATCACTACATAAAGGCGTTTATTGGAAGTTGTTGGTCTATACTGGGATGATGCTACATATACAGAATCATAGGGTAGATATAGTCTCTGACATCTGCACAGAATACATTGGATTAAAAAAAATCTGAAACTTAAAAATTGAGGATTACCATTACCCCTTTGTGATTTATCATAGGCTCAGATCATCCAGCATAAACCCCTATAGTTTCCTCTTTGTTGACAACCCTTGAAATGCACAAATCCCTTTGTTTCCCCACAGTATAACTATTGCACATATATTTGCTCAGTTTTTGTCTGTTGTCACATATTTTATAAATCATTCGTCATTAAGGACAATCTCTCTTGGAGTGTAAACTCCCAAATCTGGAAAAACTGTGTCTCGTTTGCATGACTTCTGCAGTATTTAGCATAGAATATGAGAATCTCTGGGAATTTATAAAAGAGACCTTAGTTGACATGGAATACTATATTGTTTATTGACCACACCAATTTTCCTGTGGTTTAGCCATCTCTCTGATTGGAAAGTTCTTTTGCTTTTTGGAGAGGGCTTTATTTATTTTCTCAAAAAGGCAATGAATATTTTTAGGCTTCCTGGAACTTGTTAGGTACACATAATGCCTGGGCCTTTGCAGGAACCTCACAGGTTGAAATGAACCTAAATCAAACCCTTCCCTCTTAGACTTGATGAATGATGATAGACATTGACTGTCCTACTTTTTATCTTGCAGGTGATCATTTGAAGATCTGTCCCCAGGGTTCTACCTGCTGCTCTCAAGAGATGGAGGAGAAGTACAGCCTGCAAAGTAAAGATGATTTCAAAAGTGTGGTCAGCGAACAGTGCAATCATTTGCAGGCTGTCTTTGCTTCACGTTACAAGAAGTTTGATGGTATGTTATTCAAGTCATATGTAAGAGCCGGCAGTTAAGTCTGTACTGTAGCTTTTTCACAGCTCCTCTGCTCCCTCAGTGCTTAAGTTTTCTCCCAAGATGTTGTCCTTGTTGGATACCAGAGACGAGTTAGCCCCATAGCTTTATGGCTAGAACACTTCCGGATGCACTGGAATCTGTATGGTAGGCATTATGGAAATATGGTCACAAGGAGCCAAAAAATAGATTAGTTTAACTTAAATGCTTTCATTTATTTTCTTGGATGAACACAGAATAGTGTTATTGACGCAAATCCCTTTTTAGAAAAAAAGACCTCCTAATAAAAAGCAGGCATCTGAAAACTGTCTTAGTCAAAATAGAGAGAATTTACAGATGCTAGACTTCAAATTAAATTTCAAAATGGATCCCCAAAGACAACTAGAATTCCTAAAAGTTTTGCAGAACACAGACAGGATTAAAGTTCTTGAGTTTCCATGCAGCAGAGACCCAAAAGTAGCTATTTTACTATAGTCTTCATTAAGCTGGGCTCCATCCAGCCTCACATTAACTGAAGCTCTTGCGTAGTCTTTCCATGTAAAAGCCACAACAGAACCCATTCTAATCACCTGTGCCAGACATGACTTCTCACAGGCACACTTTCTCTTAATATTGAAGAAATAGCCAATATGAGCCAATTGAGAGTGTACTTTGGTCCTATCTGAACAATGGCACAGATAACAGACTTTAAAAAATAGAATATGGAGTCCAAAACACCTCAGGATTCTTTTCCCTGGTGCTGTTCACTCAGTTTGAAGATTGTTATGAAGTAGATTTAGTTTTAAGAGGAAAGATTTCCTTTGTGCCTGTTTTAAAGGCCATTCTAATTACATAGTACCTTTGAAGCATGCTTTTCTTGACATTATGTGTGGTGAAGAAGTACAAGACAAATTTTCTAGATATGAAATGTCTTTGAGTATTTCTGCAAAGGGCTTGTTACCATGGTGAGAAAGTTAGACTAAATTAGATTTGATATAGCTGATAAGGCAGTCCTCAGTTAAAGAACAGGTTGTATTTCAAATGTTGGCTTTGAGATTTATTATTTCAAACTTATAGCCAATTTAATAAGTGTTAGGTTCCCAGGTGAGACCACAAAAGCATATTTAATCTATAATGTAGTTGAACTAAAACACTGTCTATGTAGTATGCCATTGATCCTACCCATTTTTTCAAACACACTATGTGGAAAATTGTATCTTAGTTCTATTACCTTTCCCTGGATGAATGGGAACAATTTATATATCTATATATCCTTCTTATTACCCACATCCCTCTACATATATGCTGTAGCTGTTAAGAATATTTAACAGTATGTTAATACCACATGAAAATGGGTGTTACTGGCAAAATCTATCATTAGACCTCCCCTGTCTCTCCTGATCACTGAATTATTATTATTGAAAATAATGGTGTTTTCTTGACTATGACATTTCTCATTCAAGATAATAACCTAAGTCTTTTCTTTTACTTTGGGGAGAAAACTTAGATAATTAAATGGTCATCTTTGAAAACTTAAGATGTTGATATTTAAAAATCACCACTTAGGGGCTTCATAATGGAATTTAGAAGGAAAAAAAAAATCTTCTCTTTAGAAATGACTCTCCTGTTGGCAGCACAATGTAGTAGAGATAGAGTTGTTTCTAAGTTCCAAGGCCTTCTACTCCAAGCCACCTCATTTCTTGTTAGACTTCTGTCTTCCTGGCAGGGAGCCCACAGTCATTGCCTATGGGCCTGCTGGTTTAGCTATTCTTTTCCCTTCTCACTCCCCATGGTTTTATAGCACTACTATGATTCCAATGTGTAGGTTTTTTTTGTTTTGTTTTGCTTTCTTTTTTCTTCTTAAACCATACAGAGAAACTTTATCTGTAAGTGTTAACATGTGTTTTTTAAAAAGGATAGAAAAACAGTTTTTCTTGCTCTTCCCTACCAGGCTTCACATTCAATAAATATGTTAACACTATGCCTTGAAACTTTAATGATTATGAAACTCCAGTGTTTTTTTCTGACTTCAAATTAAAATATGGCATAGGCTGGGCACGGTGGCTCATGTCTGTAATCCCAGCACTTTAGGAGGCCACGGTGGGCAGATTGCTTAAGCCCGGGAGTTCGAGAGCAGCCTGAGCAACATGACGAAACCCTGTCTCTACTAAAAATACGAAACTTAGTCAGGAGTGGTGGTGTGCGCCTATGGTCCCAGCTATTTGGGAGGTTGAGGTGAGAGGAACACTTGAGCCTGGGAGTTCAAGGCTGCAGTGAGCCAAGATCATGCCACTGCACTCCAGCCTAAGCAACAGAACAAGACCCTGTCTCAAAACAAATAAATGAAATAATATAACAAAATACAGCATAGACAATAAAGTTAGGGAACATAGATACAAGTGTTTTTTAAATAGGTAGTAGCTGAAATGTATTTGATCTAGAGATCAGTATACTGGAATGCTGGAATACTGGAATGCCAGAATACTTTGCACATTTTCTCCATGTTAGATTACAGAAACAATGAGATAATTTTATAAAAATCTTAGTTGACTGGTACTAATAGTTGACTATGAATATGCAAATCATAGTCCCCTTGTGGGTGCTGCATTGATTGACTAATTTTTTGTTTGTTTGTTTTGAGATGGAGCCCTGCTCTGTTGCCCAGGCTGGAGTGCAGTGGCACAATCTTGGCTCACTGCAACCTCCACCTCCTGGGTTCAAGTGATTCTCCTGTCTCAGCCTCCCAAGTAGCTGGGATTACAGGCACACACCACCACACCCAGCTAATTTTTGTATTTTTAATAGAGACGTGGTTTCACCATGTTGGCCAGGCTAGTCTCGAACTCCTGACCTCAGGTGATCCGCCCGCCTCGGCCTCCCAAAGCGCTGGGATTACAGGCGTGAGCCACCACGCCTGCCGATGATTGACTAATTTTTAAGACTGTCAATTAGGACTTGCCAGTAATTCTCAAGGCCTGCCAATCCAAGGGCATTGATTAACAGGCTGCCTATAGGATATGTCTTGATTTTCAGAAATTCAAGGGTAGATGCTTTGGTCAAAGAATTATCCAAACTATTATAATAGCTAAACCCTGGCTCTTTGGTGTGAATTGAAGAGAGAAATTTGGGCAGACTAAAAAGTTGGTGGTAGGGAACCAAGATGGAGCAGTGAAGTTGCACAGAGACAGCTGGGGACATATAGTAAGGAAATAGTAAAAGGACACATGGAAATATTCTGGGTCAGGCAACTTCAAGGGAGTACCTTTTGTCATCTGCAAGCTTATAGTGTAAATTCAAAGTGGTGACCTTGACCCCAGAGAACTTTGTCTACCATCAAAACCTGTCTATGTCTATGAGATACTACTTCTTTCTAAGGTAGAAATAATTACTTTTAAAGTAATTATTGAAAAAGAAAAAACTTTCCAACAAAAAAAAAGTTTGGGGACTTGTAGAGAGTTAGCCTTCTGTTACCGGAAATAATTCCATTATCCCAGTTTTCCATCATTCTTCCTCAGTTGACCCTGGTCAGGGTTATAGTTGCCAGCTCTGGCATTTTTGGAGTCATTGGATTTGAGAGATGAGTCCCTTCTCCAGGTCCCTTACCTCTAAGGCCCTTTTTTTGTTCTGTACTTTTAATTTTCTATCGTTTGTACATCTCAAGAGACTACACTCTATATCAGTTTTTAAGATATAAACACGTGTGTGTGTTTGGATTTAGGTGAAGTACAAGAGAAAACTTCCTCCGCCTCAAAAATTATCACATTTCTTATATTTTAAATACATATAACTGAGTTTAAAGATTGGCCTCTATGTTTTTGTATGCTGTCATTTTTCAAACCCACTTTATAACTTAGGGTGTTTAATACCAGAAATCTGCTATCTGCTGGAGACAGAGCCAGATTGTGGTAGTGACAGAGCTAGGTGCTCCCCCTCTTGGCCAATTCTGGGAATTTTTTGATAGTAGAGCTGCTAATTAACTTAGCTGAATTAGTCATCTCATGAATATGCTAATCACATACTTAATTCAGGAGGGAGTTAGGGAAAATTGCTTGGCAAAGGGAATAGAAATAGAAGTGGGGCATAATCCGTGTTTTGGGACTATAGCATGAAGACCCATCCCCAAATGCCTGGCATTTTGTGAGAAAATAGTTTTTAAAAGAAGCATAGTTAAAAACCCAAATAGGTTAAGGTGATTACAGCTGCCACGTTAAATGTATTTCTGAATTACCTAGTAAAAATGATGTTATAATTATGAAGTAATATCATTGCTATATAACTGCCTGTATCAAACTGTAGATATTTTGCATGTTTGAAGAACTAAGGAAATGCATGTTGTCTGATGCTAGTCTATTGGGAAAACTCCTTTATCATTTTTAGAGCAAATTTAGCAACTTTGGATGGGAGGCAGTGCACAGTGAATTATCATCCTAGTTCTGCAGTGAACCCACTGTGACTGTGACCTGGGGCAATTGATTGAGTCTCAGTTTTCCCATCCATAAAATGAGGGGGTTGAGCTAGATGCTCTCTAAAACCCTTTCAATTCTACCAATTCTGTGAATCTTTTAAACATGTGACTAGACCAGCTGCTTTAGTGAAAGGCCTTACAAGATGTTAATTAGCCGTCTGTATGGTACCCTCTATTTTCCCTCTATCATTTTTTAACTCTCAGCTACTTTCACCAGGTCTTTGAAAAACCCTCCCATGAGCCTGAAGCTTGTTAACTTGAATAATAGTAGAAATTTTCTGAATTAGCTTAAAACGCACATAAAAGAAATAATTGTCTGTCCCATCTATCTGCATGGGCCAAGTGTAAACCAAGCAGCTACCCTTCCCTTAAGCCCTAAGGCCCCTTGTTTCCTATCACTTCACAGAGGCAGGACACGAAACACTCTTCAGACTTAGCAGAATCTGCGTTTTAATCACTAACTGCAAATTTTCTGTAGTTCATATTAGCCATTAACCAGTGCAGAGGCTCAGTGAGTGGG